ATTTATCTACCACATACAATTTATGCACTTATGCTTACTTTCTTCCATTCGACGGCCGTTCTTGTAGGAGGACCATGAGAATTAATTTTCCTCATAATTTCCTCCCACCGCTCCTCTACCCTTCCTCGATCAGATCCAAACACTGCAACACCTCTGGCCAGGTCAGGATTTCTCTCCATTTCTTTTACCAGTACTTCAAATTGAGTGGTTGTAGTTTTTGTCAGCGCTACAAGCATACATATTAATATATTTCCTTAAACCAAGTTATATTTTTTTTATTTTCTTACTTTTCCTGGCAGAACCCTCCATCTTAACGATCACTAATAACCTTTCGTCTGTTTTCAACGATTTTCGTCTCACTTTCGTCTTCTATTCGCCTTAAAAAATTCCAAACTAGACGAAAACTACGTAACGATCAGCTGTTTTCGTGCTGCCAGACGATTTCGACTTACATACTACCAACACACGAACGAAACGTCTGGCAGACGAAACGAACGTTCGCTTCGAGATACATGATTAGGCTGTTCGTTACCAATACTTCCTTTTCGGTACCAGATAACGATTCTTTACATTAAACCTTCGCCATTATATGAATTTCAATTTTAGAAAAAGCTTTAATTACTAATTTATATGATATCAGCTAAAACACTTGAACTTATCGCAACAGAGAAATATTACTTTATCAGTTTTAATCTTAGTTGATCCAAGGTTCAAGAAAAATGCTTTTACGGATGAAGAAGCCTTTCAGGGGGGAGATTCTGTAACCAGTTAGCGACAAGTTTCTTGTTTCACTTGTTGACGTAAAAATATTTCATATCATACGTCAACACAACCGATGCCGATTCGAAAATTGTCGCTAACTGGTTACAGAATCTGCCCCCAGGCCTTCAAAAATGATATCGTCCGATTCAGCTGGAACAAAAATGCTTGAAACAAGTAAGAGTTTCTCTGCATTACTGCCTCGAACCGACATACATACAATATACAATATATACATCTTTCATTTGAATCCGTATGAAAAGCTCTATTGGCTCCTACATTCGGGTTTTTATAGGCGAGTCTCGCCTGAACCGTTTTTTCCATATTTTTGGCCTATGTGCGCTTTTATTCGAAACCTAAATGTTTCGGTACCGAATATCGATCAATACTTAAAAGTATTGACTCAGCACATCACTAGAAACAGGCAACATGTAAACACAAAACAGCTGATATGCACTTTGACGCCATGAACGAAAGACACAAGATCACGTAAGAACAAGAGAGTGAAAAAAGTCGATTTTTTTAGCGGGTTCTACGCCATCTTGTTTCACTGGAAAACGAGCGAAAAGTAAACAAAGCAAAGAAAACAACGAAAACCAAAATTAGCCAAAATTATTGTCAGCCACTTTAAACGCACAATTTAGGTAAAATGATGCAACAAAATGCTTTAAAATGTGTTGTCATGTTGAATTAACTCTTCTTTACTTGAATAAAAGTGTAAAATAGTGGTGCTTGTGATGTAAACAAACGCTCAGCTGACGAACCCGCTTTCGCAAACTTTTTTCTCAAAACCAGTTACAAATACAACGTCGCGTTCTTACGTGATCTTGTATTTTTGGTTCATGCTTTGACGCTTTGTCCGTTTTTACCCGGAGAAAATGTCCGGGCTGTTTGGGGCAGGAAAAAGAAGACACTTACGATCCAATACGTTCCAATTTTCGCTCTCTATTACCCATTTTGTTGAGTACGGAAATGATTTCTGGGCTATTTTGGGCACCCTCGGGATCCCGCGTTGCGTACGGGAAAGACCCTAATGGGCTGTTTTTGCTTACGCGTAAAAGCACATTTAGCGCATTTAGCTCTAAATGCTACTCTAAATGTACATTTATCCATACAAAATTCGTCACCTAAATGCAACTCAATGCAACTCCATTTTTGCATTAAGAATCTAAATGCTAAAAGCAACCCTGTGATCTTCCAAAATTTCCACGATTCGAACACANCATTATTTGGATAAAGAAAAGTTACGCAAATTCAACATCGATATGATGCTGATAGAAATCTGGATTAATTTGTGATCAACTCTGTTTGTTTTGTTTCCTACTTAAGTGTGGAAATTATAATTGACAGCACCGACAAATGAATATATACACAAACAAATGTTCGGTTATGGTTAAAACAATTCAAGCTTTTGTATAGAATTTTCGGTTTAGAATTTATTTTTTCCTTTTCAGTATGGGTTTTTGCACATTATCTTTTTCGTAAGAATTTATCGTAATAGATAATAGCATACGATTTCGAACTCGCGTAAATGTACATTTGCTAAATGCGATAGCATGAACGCTCTTCGAAAACATATGTTCGAAAGTGCTAAATGTTGCATTTTAAATGNTAGCATGACCGCTCTTCGAAAACATATATTCGAAAATGCTAAATGTTGCATTTTAAATGCAGCAAAAACGCTGCATAACATTGTGCATATATACAAGTGACAAATGTTCTTCTTCTGCCTGGAAACCGCCGGGAAAATACATAGAAATAGCCTGTCAAAACAAAATTGAAACTATCGATACTATCGATAGTGCCATCGATAGTTTGACAACNGCTGTCAAAACAAAATTGAAACTCGATACTATCGATAGTGCCATCGATAGTTTGACAACTCTAGTTCGTTTAACTATTTGTGCAACAATACAATCTTCTGACGAAGTGAAAGTTTATGGATAGAGCTGCAAAATGACAGACAATTCATTTGTTGCAGAAACATCAAATGATAGGAGCAAATCTTCGAACGATTTAAACAGATATACTGATGCAGGTTGTGTGGATAATGAATATTGGACTCGTTTTTCGCAGTGGATCCACTGCATGTGTGTGGTAACATTTGATTTGAACATTGGACAAGCTCTTGAATACGTTTATCCACCACAATTTATGCCCACAGAAACTGAAACAGCTAATATATGTTATATGGCCTTTCCCGATTCCAATTCTGGGTGTATGGGCGATACAAAGTTCCACATGCGTCTTCGAAGAGCTTCCAAACATAGCCGTAATAAAACTTTGTCAAGGATATTCCATTCATATAACTCTGATTGTATATCCGTTCTTCGTGTAGATGAATCACATTTCTGGGGATTTGTGTACTTTCGGCAGAAACGCGATCCTAATCTGCCGCGTGGTTATTTTCAAAAAAGCTTTATCATAGTCACACATCTTCCATTTTGTAATCTTTTTTACGATATTGTCGCGCAATTGGCTCCGAAGTATTTTGAGGAGGGCAACTCAGTGCTGGAACAAGCATGTCTTCAAATAAATAGCTTGTGGCCCCAGTTACAACCAGGAGTTTCCTTGGAGTTACAATTGTTTGATATCATATATCAAATAAATTTACCTACAATAAGTGGCAAAAGGTCTACCCCTCCTCTGTTAAAAAAAGACGCCATAAAGGATACTTCGATCACTCTGTTTTCAACTAAATTTTTAAGCTCTGTTTATGAGTTCGAGCTATTTCAAAGCTTAAGCTTTACTGTGGAGAGCTTATATACTTTATGGGAATTAGTGCTGATTGCTGAACCTATTATTGTTGTTGGCACCTCACCCGCTGATTGTTCACACATGGTGCAAACTCTTGTATCACTTATCGTTCCGATTGAGTACTGTGCTGAAGTGCGGCCATATTTTACTATACATGATAGTGAGTTCAAAGAGTTTACAAGAGAATATGGAAAAACGCCTCCTCCGGTAATTCTAGGCGTAACAAATCCGTTTTTCATAAAGCTATTCAAAGATTGGCCCCACATGCTGCGTCTGGTCGATAACCAGGTAAATATTTCACTTTCCTTATGTGCATATGTATCAGAGGTGGAGGCATTTCACCACGTCTGTCAAGTTAGCACTACACTTTTCGAAATTGGAGAAGTTAACTATGGCATTAATTGTAGCTTTATTGTAAATTTGTTGTGGAAAGAAAAAAATTTTTGCTCTTCTTTTTTTTTTTAAATGTGGTATGTAGCATGATAAAAACATTACAAGGTAAATTCATTCTCTCATTTCGTCGGCCATGATTTTTTTCTGACGTTTGCCAACATTTTAAAATCATATAAAATTGAAAATAAAAAAATTAAATTGTTCACAATTGTTGTTGTTTGAGATTGAAAATGAGAATGTGTGTGTGAGTTTGAGTTTTGATTTTAAAATTATATTGTTGGCAAACGTCAGACTGCCTCTCAATGGTTTTACCTTGTTATGTTTTTATCATGGTATGTAGTGCTAACTTGACACCATACACCTGGTCGATGGAATTGAGATATTGAAAATGTTATATCCCTTGGTCAGCGGCGGATTTAAATATATGTTACGCCTAGGCAATTCAGAATTTGCCGTCCTTTTTCCTATAAGAAAAAAATTTTGAGGCAAAAGTACCAGTTTTGGAACGATTAGCAGTCAATAGAATTATTCAAATTTATGTTATTTACGATACTTTTATTACAATTTAAGATGAAAAAATGGTATTTTCCAAGGCACATTAAACAGGTAGTATCAGTAGAGCAAAAACAACATTTGCGTGTATTTTGTTGTTGCTTCTGGTATCGAAAGTGTCAAAAACTGTTCTGAATTTTTTCTTCTAAATCAAAGCGTGCCATGTGAAATACAAAAAATTATAAAAAATAAAAAATTGAAATTGGAAAAAATAAAAATTGATGCAACTTTCTTTCCTAGTAAATTTGTTTGCTTCTCGAAGCATTGATCCATCCTTTGCAAGGCCCAGTAATCAGCGGTCGTGCTGCCGAGTTGGGCGAACGTTCCAAAAGCTGCTATTCAATCGCTTGTTTTGTATGGAAAAAGGTTTCACAAGCAAATGGATTTTAACAACTTATAATTTTCGTGAGAAAAAATTAAAAATATTTGACACTTTCGAGACCAAATAATTTGAAAATACCTCAAATCAGCTGCTCTACTGATACTACCTGTTCAATGTACCTTGGTATTTGCCTTGAGTAAACGTTTTAAATTTTTAAAGAAAGCCATCGTTAACAAACTTTTTTCACTTGATAAGTTATAATCTCATTACCAAATTAGTATTTTTAAATATTATCATTTAAATAATATCAAAAATACCTAACAGTGTTGTCCTATTTTCTGATTGCGTAATTGAATCTCAAATTTATGTCTTAAAATATACAAACACAAACTCTACTTTCAGTGCAGCTAACTTGAAAAAACAAATTTTTTTCGACTAAAATTTTGCCGCCCCCCAGGGTTTTGCCGCCCTAGGCTCCTGCCTATGTTGCCTTAATGGTAATCCGCACTTCTTAATTATGGCATGCATTTTAAAAGTAGTAGAAAGGGGGGAAAAATAAGTCCAGCTTTGGAAAAGGTACTAATATTAGTTGCGATCAGATTTTACTGGAAATCGATCCCGTACTCGGTTCTCTGACTATTGAGAGGACAAAAAAGAGAGTAAATACGGTTCTCTCTCTGTCAGAAGTTACCAGTTTTAGTCCGAGAATTTTTTGCTGGTAAATTCTGGTAAATGTGTCAAACGATCAGCTGTAGTGTGTTTGGCAACCAAATTGTAAACAAAAGAAAAGTGCACTCTGCTAATTCATGTTGAAAAGTATTTAATTACTTGTTTAAGTGGATTCTAATGAATTTGAAAGTACTTTTGGTTATTTACATGTGTGAGCTGAGTGTGTTTACATACAAAATAAGCAAAAATTTACAACCAAAATTTGGAGGTTATGTTGAAGTTGACAGAAGTTACCATTTTTTACTAGAAAGCGATCCCGTACTTTTCAATGTTACTCTCTCGCTCTGAGCGAATTTTTATTTTTTGACAGTTTTACTAGTCCGAGTCCGAGGAATACGGGATAGCGTAAATGATATGGATTAAAGGGTTGCAGAATTACATTTGTCTCTTCTACGCTTGAAAGCACTCTTTGCTTTGTACTCTACTCCCAAGTAGAATGCTTAAATCTCTCCGCGCAAAGCCATTACTCTTCATCGCAAGTGCAAATGCTAGTGATACTTCTTCTGTTGAGCCAAATTGTGTACACTACTTGCCACGATCGCGCAATACAGGCAAACGACGCTACGCCAACGAGTACAGAAAATATTACACGCTTGCTTGCAGTAATCGAAAGTGCTTGTGGTGCTTGTGTATTCGAAATTCCTCGTCGTATTTGGTCGTTTGCAACTTGACTGGCAACGCATGCGCACAATTAATAAATTTGCATAATGGAGCTTGACAACGTAAATATTAATATTAAATACATATTTCGCTTCTATCATTTTAATGCATTAATGTTTGCAGTCATTTACCAACGATCCACCTGCTACAAACGTTAGTTTTAGTAGTAGTTTGAGTAATAGTGTCATAAGAGAAAAAATTATTAGCGGCGAGTTTAAAATTTCTAAGGGTACTGGGAAAAGTAAAGTAAAACGTGTTTCAATGTATTAAAGCACTGCAAAAAATCAACCTCAAACTTATTGAAGCACAAGTGCGTTATAAGATACTCAATGAATAGTAACAGCGAAAATGTACTATTTTCCGAAATCGACAAAACTTGTACTAAAAATGAATGTAAGCGGCTCATGGCAGAATTCACTGTAGATGCATTACATACTGAGTCAGATTCCACGCCGTCATGTTCTACCGAAAATAGTTTATTGTTCAGAGATTTTGTTCAACCAAGACAAGCGCTTAGTATTGAAAATAAAATCTATGGAGAAATTCATAAGTACGAAAGCACTGATGTTGAATTTTATGACGATTTCGATATTGTGCACTGGTGGGACGGTCATAAAAATGATTTCCCAATTTTATATAAACTGAGCTGTCGAATTTTAGCAACTCCGGCATCCTCAGCTCCTTTTGAAAGAGCATTTTCCGTCGCCCGAAATATTATCACTGAGAAACGTTGCAGTATTAGTTGTAATGACAGCGCAATAAACAGGATAATGTTCCTACATTCAAGCATTGGTTAAAAGTATGTATATTAAAAAAATTTGAATTTACATTCTGTATATGTATGTTTCACGATTATAAACAACTCACATATTGACAAGTTTTGCCTATACATTTTTTTAAATTATTTTATTTCAATTACTTTTTATAAAAATATAGTTTATTCTTTAAGAAAAATCATATAAATCCAAACTTGAGACTTTGAGCTATATTAAGAAAAAATTAACAATTTTTCGTAAAAATATCGAGCTCTTTTATTGGTTTACTTAGAATGGTTTTAAGTATGCAGTTTTGTAGCCCATTCAATTTTAGTACAATGAAGTGCAAGTTTGCAAAGCAAGACTTACCGTTGATATTGGTAATTTTTTTTTTGTTGAAGCTGTTGGTCATTTTCTCCATATAAAAAGAATCGCGTTAACATACTTCGTATGGAAGAAATAACTGACACCGTCAATAAATTCCAAAATATCAACTGTATGTTCGTGCTACTTCAAACTTGCACTTTATTCTATTAAAATTGAATGGGCTAGTAAGCTGCATATCCAACCAAATCTAATGAAAAAGCTAGAAATTTTTATGAAAGTTTGTAGAATATTTAATATTGCAAAACGTTTAAATCTTGCATTGCAAAACTTTTCAATAAATGGTTGGCGTATACATACATAATTATTTTTTTTTGAAAATCATTCTTTTGTTAATTTTATATTTTCTTTCCTTAAAATGTTAATCTGGAATATTATACCCATTCTCGTTTAACAAATAAACTATACACATTTCTTTAACATTGACTAGTTTTCAAAACTTTATTCATTACCTTATTGCAGCAAAGGCGTTCGCTGAAATAAATACATACATATGTATGTACATATGTATGTGCATATATATTGTATATTTTTAATCAAATAACGTAGTAGTAAGGGCAAGCATCAAAAATATCTTTGATGTAAATACAAATGTATCTACATGTGTGCATAGCACGTAAATAGCATAACCCAAACACCAACAATCAACAGCTCTATGAACATACTCAAATACTCGCAAGCACAGTACACTGCTTGCGGATATTCTTCAGTCGAGGTAATTGTGTTTGCAAAGCCAGTACTTCTTTTCTTGCTATTGATCGGGTTTTTACTTACGCATACTCCAAGCGGTTTGTGTTTGCCCGCACTCAACAAGAGAATGGAGAGATAAAGAGAGTAGATAATTGCGCTGCTAACAAATGTCTTGTTGGGCAACTCAAATGTATCCGTGCAGTGTTTTAATATGGATGGGTTATGGGTACATGTGTGTACATGCAGGGCCGGATCGTGAGCTCGATTTTGAGGGGGAAATAAGAATCAACAATTTTGTACGCCCAAGTATGACAGACATTTTATTTTATTATATTATATATTTTTTATAAATGAATTATATTTTTATAAATCATATGTTTTTAAGAAAAATACCCTGTAGTAATTCTAAAATTTCAAAACTACAGTTGTCGACTGAAAAATAACTGGCTAACCAGAATGGTGAGGCTGTGGTATGTAGCAAGAGCTGTCAAAAGTTAAAATATTCTAAATGCTCTAAACTGCCCACAATATGTAGCTGTGTGTTGTGGTGTATTATTACTGATGTAGCTAGCGAAATAGCTTGTGGCTGTGGTTGTTGTTGTTGTTGTTGTAGCGGCTAAAACAACCCCGCCCAGATCGGTTAATATCTCAGTCGGTGTCGTCGAGCTCCACTAACGGAAGCCCCAGGAAGCGTGCAGCCTCAATGGGGTCGGTCCACAGCAATGCTGGGCACACCAACACAGTCATTCCCACGACAGCCGTTTCTACGTACCGGAATGACTCGGGTTTTACCCGACCAAGGG